CCTACATCTGGAACAGAAATCCATCCGATTTCCAAACTTAGTTTAGTTCTCCACATTTCCATTTATGAGTGCTTTTGAAAATTCATCAGCATTTTATTATGGATGTGTCCCAAGAAATGCATTTTTTGCATGCAAGTTTGCCTACGATATACATTTTTGCAAAGCAATCTTCCCTGATATAATGCATTTTTGTATGCTGTTTTCATGACATTTATGCACACTTTATCCTAGTATTTGCATTTTTAGGCACACTACCTGGATACAGAACGGTACTGCAAAATTCAGAGACGCTTGGATTTCAAAATATAGGCTATGCTTTGGTTCATGCATTGTTTTGCAAAGTGCAAATGCAATTTGAATTCTCCTCCATCTCTAGTAGCTAGTAGCCAGCAGTCTTCAACAGTCATCAGTGCTCTTTTAAGCAAGGGCCTCTTTAGCCACCAGTGGTCACTTGAGAAACCTACTTAGCTTCCAGCTTTACAAGTAACTTGGGAAAAGGCTGTCTCCTTCCTTGACTGCTTTAATAAAAAAGCACATTAGCAGATGAGAATTGCCCTCATATGAACTCAGAGAATTCTAGCAATTGCCAGCTGGTGGTGACCATTGGGTCTGGTAGGGCAGAAGGTAGGGAGAGGAACAGTAGGTGGTGCCATATCAGGCAGAGCCACTCCTGATTAGTAAGAAGTAAGAAGTTAGGCAAGTGGGAGCAGACTCAAGTGCACAGCCCCATTCATCCTAATAGACCAGCCGCCAAGGGGGGAAATAGCACCAAGCACTTAGACACTGTCCTTTGTTTTCCTATCGTGGGCCAAGTTCTATTTGATTCCATGTTCTCTCAAGCGAACATTTTCAATAGACGTTGTTGTTCCCAGCAGAATGTTGGTGCCGGTAGTGACTGGCCACAAATCTGGATAAAAAGGAAAGAAGATAGATTGATGCTGCTTTTATCGACTCCTGCACAGAACGGTGCACCTCATATTTATTTTATGGCAGGCTGCGCTCACAGCATCTTGGGCCAGGGAGGCGGAGGGACAGAGATGGGGACCCTGAATACAATTACCTTAGAGGATGCATTTGGAGGGCTGGTTGCCTTTTAAATCACACTGTACCCAACCAGATTGATCTTTCCTAGAGCTCATTCTGCTCTTCTTGGATCCCAGGCATGGGCCATTCTCTTGGGAGACGGTGCGTCCTCTCGCTCTTTTTCAAGAGTTCATAAATAAAACTTCTATGAGTCTGCAGTCACTGAGAAGTTTCTCTCATTCACTTTCTCCCTGCAGTCTTGTTTATTAGTTCTTGTCTTGCACTTTTATGAGCTTTGCAGGAATGAATTTCCAACATTGCACCGGTGTAGATTTAAGGGCAGTTTAACTGATGGATGCCTTGTTAAGGACCATGGACATACTGTGACCCTGGACTACCAATGTGTTCGATTCCTCTGCTCTGGTGACTGCTTAACGCAGCCAACAGGCAGCACCTCCTCCCACTCTTCCTTGCTGGGATCTGATGAGTTCTTCTTAATTTCTCAATGAGAAGCACCATAGCAAAAATTGATTTGATGTGTGTGTGTTTCAACAATTCTCCATCAAGTTATAAGAAAAGAAACTGCATCCAAAAACTTCTCAAAGGGCGGGCATATTGTCCAAATTCATGGCCTAGATTGCATGACCAGGCAGCGACAGCCCCAGCCCCCAGGGATCATAAGGAATAAAGACTCTGACAACGTTCTATGGAATTAAAATTAAGCCACAACTTTATTAAACATCTGAATGTAGGAAGACCTTAGCTTAGGCCTTAGGTGTTTATCTCTCCCAGCCCCCAGCTGAGGGGAACTGGGGCTCATCAGGGCAAACGGGATATCGGGGTGCTCTGCGAGAAGTAAGTGTAGCAGGCAGCCCGGCCCATATCCCAGCATGCAGGGTAGTTCACTGACGACCTTTCAGTGTATGGCCAGTGACACCCATATATATAACTCCTTTAAGAAGAGGACCCTGGAATCGCTGTCGCGGGGGGGGGGGGGGGTGAGTCACCACTTCACACACACACCCCAATAGGGAAGAAAAGGCTAACGGATTCCACCCATGGCCATAACAGCCAAAGTTGTGATGAATTGCTACAGGGAAGACAAAACCTGCCAATGCAGGAAAATTTCTTCCCGGTCCTTCAATAGCAACCAGTCAAAGACCGTAGCAGCGCCCGCTAAACAGGAAGAATAAGTTAACCTGCAAACTAGAAACATTAAACAAAGGGAGGGTAGGGAGAGTGAATCTCCAGAGCCGACTGCCTAGCTATTGTCAGCTCCACCCCCTATTTATAAATGGGGCTGGTCCCACCTCCCAGCAAGAAACTTGATTACTGGGGCTGGGTGTGAACCTCCAAAAATTAACACTGAGAGGCAAGCCAGCCCCTGTTTGCCAGTAAGCTCCTTGGGCACTGTAGCACCACGCGCGATCCCACAAAGGGCACCCACAATGTAAAGTGTGAGTGCTCATTGCTAAAGGAGTAGCTACTGTTGACATTAGGGGTCAACAACCTTTTGTGGGTCTGCAGGGACACAATTCAGGGAGTGACACATGCACAGGGTTCTGCCCAAGTGGGGGGGGGGGCAGCATGCATGTGTGATGTCACGCAGTGGGAGGAGGCCCAATGGGGCCTGTCATGGTGGCAGAATATTGAGGAGGCATGGCCCCCTCCTTGAATTTTTTTTGGGGGGGGGACTTGCCCCCTGCTCCCCCAGGTGGCACCCCTGCAGAGTGACATGGACACACACACATCCTCTGGCTGCCTCTGACTCCCAGATCACCCCCCCCCAAAGACAGAAAGATACAAACCGCGCATGCAGGCCCACTTTGCTTTTCTGTGGGGTATGCGTAAAAAGTAGGATCCAGGAGAATTAAAGCAAATCCTCTTGGGTGTGCAGGGATTATCACAGAGTGCTAACCAGTGCTCACCCTCAAATTAACTTTTGTTTACTTATTTATTATGCTGATATCCCACATGAGAGCCAGTGTGGTGTAGTGGTTAAGAGCGGTAGACTCGTAATCTGGTGAACCGGCTCCTCCACATGCAGCTGCTGGGTGACCTTGGGCCAGTCACACTTCTCTGAAGTCTCTCAGCCCCACTCACCTCACAGAGTGTTTGTTGTGGGGGAGGAAGGGAAAGCAGAATGTTAGCCGCTTTGAGACTCCTTCGGGTAGTGATAAAGCAGGATATCAAATCCAAACCCCTCCTCCTCCTCCTCCTCCTCCTCCTCCTCCTCCTCCTCCTCTTCTTCTTCTTCTTCTTCTTCTTCTTCTTCTCCCCCCCCTTCCCTCCAGGGAGCTCATGGTGGTGTAAACACTTCTCCACCCACCTCCCCACTTTATCCTCACAACACCCCTGCGAGGTATGTTGAGAGACGGTGACTGGCCCAAGGTTGCCCAGTGGGCTTCATAGCTGAGTGGCCCCTGGAACCTCAGGCTCCCAGCTCTTAGTCCAACACTCTAACCACTACAGGACACTGCCCACTCCTACGCTCTTTCCCTTTTTAGGGCTCTTTACCAATCAGAGGGTGCCTTCAAATAGAGGACTGTCATCTGTAAATGAGGATGCATGGGCACCCTACCAGAAAACGGGAAGGTCACATACAGTTCAGAGCGATCCGATCATCGGCCTTCAAGACCTGTTGTGCACCAATCTTGAAGAAGCCATAGACGCAAAGGTCAATGACTCATGCTGTCATTTGTGCCACCCCCACCTCAAACGCTGGGTCCCACGAACTGCAGACTTGCAGCAGACAAGGAGCTTCAAAAGGAATTGCTATGGCATGCCCATTGTGATCCATGCCTGCTGGCTGGGTCTGAGCCACCTTTTAAATTTAGGAACATAGAATCGTAGAGTTGGAAGAGGCCCAGAGGATCATCTGGTCCAACCTCCTGCAATGCAGAAATCTGAACTAAAGCATCCATGACAGAAGACCATCCAACCTCTGATTAAAAACCTCCAAGGAAGGAGGTTCCTGGGAGCAGGGGTCTCTCCCAGATGTACCTGGAAATGCTGTGAGGGGCTGAACCTAGGGCCTTCTATATGCTGAGCATATGCCTCAACACTGCATTGAAGGACTAGACAATATCTAAGTTGCCTAATCCTTTGAAAGAGGATTAGACAACTCCATGGAGGACAAGGCTATCATTAGCTGCCATCTATGATCACTATGTTCTACCTTCATCGTTGGAGGCAGTATGCTAGGAATCGGTTGCTGGGACTCACCAGAGCGGAGAGTGCTGGTGAACTGAGGTCCTGCTGGTGGACTTCTTGCAGGCATCTGGTCCGCCAGATGTGAGAACAGGATGCTGGACTAGATGGGCCACTGACCCAATCCAGCAGACTCTTTGTGCTGGGCCCAGGGGTAACCCGAGAACCGCGGTCCAGATCTGGTCCAGAATCTGTAGGTTCCACTAGGAGTCAGTCCAACAGGGTCAAGGCGGACACGAGGCAGGAAACCAGGCAAGGACAGGTACAGGATCTGGCATAAAGCAATGTTGCTCCCGCAACCTGGGGCGGGGTCTGACAGCCTTTTATCTTTGTTGGGGTAAGGGCCGGTCCTGATCCCCCGGCGACTCACCTCCCTGTTTTGCCCGAAGGTGAGCACTCCTCCTGCAAGTACTCCTTCTCTCAGACCTTTGTCTCTGCAGCTCGGGAGACGTCGGTGGGTTACTAGACCCAGGGGCCGCCTCAGCCTCCCCTGACCAAATTGGTAGTGGAGCAGCTGTAAGTGATGGCCCAGCTGAAGGCAACGAGGTAATCACTGCATCTGGAGCCAGGGCAGGCTCAGGCCCCTGACTCGGCCCAGCTGGTGTTTGTTGCAGGGGAACCTGTGCAGACTGGGACTCTTCAGGATCAGGCCCCAGACTTGGTTCAGATGATGCTTGAGGCAAAGGATCCAGTGCAGGCTGAGACTCCCCTGGGCCCGAGCCCGAGTCCCAGGCCATCATACTCTTCCTATATTCTTACGTCATAGGGCAACTGGATAGCTCAGTCAGTAGAACATGAGACTCTTAATCTCAGGCTTATGGGTTCAAGCCCCACATTACGCAAACAGATTCCTGCATTGCAGGGGGTTGGACCAGATGACTCTTGTGGTCCCTTCCAACTCTACAATTCTATGATTCTGCCTTCTACAGAGTCAGATTAACTATCCACCTAGCTCAGTATACAGTGGTGCCTCGCAAGACGAAAAGAATCCGTTCCGCGAGTCTCTTCGTCTTGCGGGTTTTTTCGTCTTGCGAAGCAAGCCCATTAGAGGTTTAGCGGCTTAGCGCTACAGTATTAGCGGCTAGCCGGCAAAGATCAGCTGATAAGCGGCAACGATCAGCTGATAAGCGGCTTAGCATCAGCTGTTACGCGGCAAACAGATCAGCTGATAAGCGGCTTAGCCATCAGCTGATAAGCGGTTTAGCGGCTTGGGAAAAAGGGGGGGGGAAGGAAAAAAAACCCGCAGGAACTCGCAAGACATTTTCGTCTTGCGAAGCAAGCACATAGGAAATTCGTTTTGCGAAGCACCTCCAAAACGGAAAACCCTTTCGTCTAGCGGGTTTTCCATCTTGCGAGGCATTCGTCTTGCGGGGCACCACTGTACATTGTCAGTGGTTTTCCAGGAGCTATCCTCAGCCCTAGCTGGACATACAGGGGATTGAACCTGGGACTTTCTGCATGCAAAACTGATGCTCTACTACTGCTCTACAGCCGTTTCTGACTCCTCTCACCTACACCAGAGAAGCAGCTGGGAAAGGATGTTCCCTGTAAGACAGAAGACTCCGCTTTTGATGCCCCCCAAGGTGATTTCATGAAGAAATCATGATTTCATGACAATTGCTTTGTCTTGGATAAGGAAGGAAGGAAGGAAGGAAGGAAGGAAGGAAGGAAGGAAGGGGGCAGGGAGAGCGAGAGAAAGCCTCCATTGCATGCAAAGTATTTTGTGGCAGGAGGATCATCTAAAACTTTCAGATGTTTATAGCACTAAATGGAGATGAAAACCTTGTCAGAAGATTTTCTGTAATTTCTCATCTGGCTATTGAAGAAAGACAACAGGGCAGCATTATAGAGCCCAGACAAAATGTGACTGCAGCAACAGTTCACCTAATTATAGCCACCGAGGAGCTCAATAAGGAAAAGAGCTTTTTCTCTTTGACCTTTCTGATCACCAGGGCTTTACATAAAAGAGTGCATTAGCTTCTGTCTTTGTGAACAGCAGGAGCCAATCTCATGTTGACTTTAGCGGTGAAGCACAACACATCTGTACTGCTTATGAAACAACTTCAGTGAAGCTTAGGCAGGAATGGACAAATCGCAGTTTTGCTTCCTCTCAGTTCCCCATTTTTCCAATCTTAATTTCAGGTCTCCACATTTTCGGATTATTAAAAAGTCCTTGTGAAAATTCACCAGCATTTTAGTGTGCATTTTTGCTAATATATTATTATTATTACCATTATTCATTTCATTTCTACACCAGGGTCAACCACAGAATGCACAATTGTATGCAATTTTGTCAATTTTTGCAAAGCCATTTCCCCCCCAATATAATGCATTTTCTATATTGTGTTCACTGGTATATGCATTTATACGCACACTTAACTCTAGTATGTACATTTTTGTGCATACTATTTAGCTGTAGAACTGCATTACAAAATTCAGAGAAGCATGAGAATTTTGAAGGAGAGTTATGTTTTGGCTCCCATTGTTATGGCACCGGAACCAATGCATAGCCAACTCTTTCTGTGGTTGTTCTCCTCCTCCGCCTCCTCTTCCCTGCTGGGTTCTGTAATGGCAACGCTGAGACTAAGAAGGAGGCTGAAGCTGACAGGCAGTGCTGCCACCTTCTGGGCTGGAGGTAAATAAGAAGGGGTGATGGTGGCTGAGGGCAGAATGAGGTTGGTGGGCAGTTCACCATTCACTGTAATGGACCTGAAATCCAAAGTTTCCCCCCTTTTTTAAAAATTAGGGAAATGTTAAGTGTTATTTTTCAAGGGTTGTGTACAGATTTTTGCATTAGTAGAATTAAGATGAATAAGGTTTAACAATTGGATTGTTAAGACTATAAGGCTTTATGGACGTGCATGAATATGTCAATACAATGAAACCAAGAGGGGGAGTGGAGGGAAGTCAACTGAGATTTACAACTTGAATTTCTATATTTGGCTTGTTTTGCTTTGTTATTGTACTATTATTGTTTTGGTTTTTTTGTCATTTTTGGAAAATTTATAAATTGTTATCTAATAATAATAATAATAATAATAATAATAATAATAATATCACATCCAAAGTAGTGTAAACATCTAACCTGTAAAAAAAAGGACACATTTGAACCCACAAATTCATCTGAAGGTTCACATTCCAAGCCACGTGGATTTCTGTCTCTTTCTCCAGTTTCTGGCAGGCCCCCAGGGGGAGGCTTTGGCAAGCAGTTCGCTCGCCCTCTCACCCTGGCCAAGGAAGTGCCACACTTCAGGGAAGCTTGCTGTTGACTTTTGCAATTAGGTGGAAAGCGAATGGGCAGGAGCTGGTTGGAGGCGGCTGGCTCATTAGAAAGGGCTTTGCTTCCCCTACCTATCCTGCATTACAGCAGCACTAATGAGCCCCTCCACTTTCCCCATTCCGCTGAGCTATGACACCCACACTATTTTCACATGGCATCGTTTGTGGAGTTGGAGCCGCACCAAGCCCAAATGTTTCTCCAATTTGGCAGCATCCAAAGACCTTGCAGATACCAGCCCCCAAACATTTTATTGATGCTCTATTTGGGCTTGTTAATATATTGATTTCTTTATTTCCCCCCTGAAAAAAATAACAATTCAGTATTTATTAAATTTCTATCTCCCTCCCCCTCCCAGGGGCTCAGTTCGTTCTTTCTCTCTCTCTCTCTCTCTCTCTCTCTCTCTCTCTCTCTCTCTCTCTCTCTCTCTCTTTCTTTCTTTCTCTTTCTCTCTGTCTCTTAATAATTACATTTCTATCCCAAACCAATGCAATACTTTTTTTTTTGCATTCAGAACATTGTGAAACACTTGAAAACAGTCACATATTATCACCACTAATAATTTCAAGGTTGACAGGATCTTTTAGTCTTCAAATGGCTGGATGAACAGGGATGTTTTAAAATTCCTCCTGAATGTTTCCCTCACAACAGCCTATAGGTTCGGCAAAGAGATTGTGGCTAGCTCAAAGGCACCCAGTGAGCTATGTGGCTCCAAGTCTGTTTTTTTAATGTCAGCGTTGAGACTGGTAGGACTGGTCTGGGAGGCCAACAATAGGTGGCGCCAGACCCAGCAGTAGGCTGAGCCAACTCAGTCTAGTTTTGTCCCCATCCTCCTCCTCCTCCCTCCTGAGTTCTACAAGAACATCACCGAGACTAAGGATGAGGAAGCTTGCAGGCAGTGCCACCCCCCACCCCCCGGGCACACTGCAAGCAAGATGGCAGGCAGGTGGGAGGCTGACTTGGGGCAGAGTGAGGTTGGTCTGGCAGTTCCCCATTCATCACAATTGGACAAGCTTCCACCACTTAAGAGTTTTGTATCTTGAAACTGGGCTTGGACCAGTTTCCTCTGTAAAGTAGGAGACACAGCCACCTTTCGTGAGAATCAATACTTAAACTGTACTCCCTCTTTGGTTATTTAACTTATACAGTGGTACCTTGGGTTAAGTACTTAATTTGTTCTGGAGGTCCGTACTTAACCTGAAACTGTTCTTAACCTGAAGCACCACTTCAGCTAATGGGGCCTCCCGCTGCCGCCGCGCCACCAGAGCACAATTTCTGTTTGCACCCTGAAGCAAAGTTCTTAACCTGAGGTACTATTTCTGGGTTAGTGGAGTCTGTAACCTGAAGCGTATGTAACCCGAGGTACCACTGTAATGCAAGAGACAGGGTCCTGAAGAACAACACTAGTGTAGCGATTGACTGTGTAGCAGTTTCCCCTGGCAAATAGGGGCAGTGGTGCATGGTGTGGAGAGAGGCGTGTGGCCTGGAGAGAGAGGGTGTGGCCTATAGGGTGGAGGTGTTGCTTAGCAACCAGGCAGAATGGCATGATCTCGCTGAGGTAGCATGTACTTTGATTGACTGTGTAATTTTGAGGGAGTTTTTCATCTCCTGAAAGTTTAGTTGTTATGTAACAAGGCCGGAATTAAGAAAGACAAAACCTCTCTGCTCTTTTGTCCTCAAATTATACAGTTTTTGTTCGGTTTGCACAGTTAAGTGTTATCAGGATTTCTTTTCTCTCTGGACTCCGTCAGTGTTATTTAAGTGACTTTGCTAATTCATGGCAGCTGTAACTCCCATGTTGGGCTGCTGCTTTGGCAAAGCTCGCTGTGCTCTGGCTGCAACATTCCTCATTGCAATCACTTCGCAGAAGGTCTCTGAAGCTCTTCCAAGCGCCTTGCCAACATCTGGAGTGCTAATCGGGTCGTGTGTTCCTTCCTGCAGTGCCGAGTTCCATAATGCCTTGACCTCCAGCTGCCTGACCGCATTTGCTGTCACTGTTGTGGTTTTCTGGTGCATCACCTTGAGGCGTTGTGCTCTTTAATGAGTGTTTTTACCAAGCTGGGCCCAAACTGGGGGTTTATTTGGCAGCACTCTCCAGATACAGCTACTGGGGAGATTCAGAACTGTGCTGCTGACCAATGCTAGGTTAGGAAGCCCACAGAGGTCACTCCTTGAAGAGTTTTGAAAATCAGCATTATAGCTGGAAGATGGAAGGGTCAGGGTTTGTGGTGATACATCATAAGTGGTCATCTTAGAGGGATTGTTGAAGAAGCAAAGTGCACTGAGAGTCAGGGGAGAGCATTGTCCCCCAAAAGAAAATAATGGTATATTGCACATTAATGCTCTCACTGTAAACCTGTTTTTCCTTAAATAATTCCTGCTTATTCTGATGGAATTAACTTTCAAGGAGACGAGGGTGGCGCTGTGGGTTAAACCACAGAGCCTAGGACTTGCCGATCAGAAGGTCGGTGGTTCAAATCCCCGTGATAGGGTGAGCTCCCATTGTTTGGACCCAGCTCCTGCCCACCTAGCAGTTCGAAAGCAGGTCAAAGTGCAAGTGGATAAATAGGTACCGCTCTGGCGGGAAGGTAAACGGCGTTTCCATGCGCTGCTCTGGTTCGCCAGAAGCTGCTTAGTCATGCTGGCCACATGACCCGGAAGCTGTACGCCCGCTCCCTCGGCCAAGAAAGCGAGATGAGCGCTGCAACCCCAGAGTTGGTCACGACTGGACCAAATGGTCAGGGGTCCCTATACCTATACCTAACTTTCAAGGAAGCTTGCTTACATGGAATCAGATGATTGGTCCATCTAGCTCAGTATTGTCCACACAGACTAGCAGTGGCTCTCTAGGATTCTGGGCAAGCGATTTTCCAAGCCCTACCTGGAAATGCAAGGAATTAAACCCAGAACCTGCTCTACTACTGAGCTATATAAGAAGATGCTTTATATGCATACTGTATAACCGACCTGTTTTAAGCAGGCCATCTCAGATTTATAGAAGCTTCTGATCCTAGTTCCGGATGTCCCATTTTGGCTCCTGTGCTCTGGCCGCGCCAGAGTGTGGGAGCAAAAGACAGATCCATTCTTCTTCCTCCTTCTAGAAGCAGCACCGGCTAGATTACCACATTACTGCCTGCACGGACTGGCAGCAGCTCTCCAGGGTCTCTCTCATCCCCAACTGGCAATGCCAGGGCTTGAACCTGGCACCTCCTGTGTGCAAGGCAGACATTCTACGACTGAACCACAGTCCTCCTGATTCGGCATGTCAAAATTGCCTTCTTTTCAAGTAGTCCCAGCTGTCCAGCAAGGGGGAAGGCAAGCGGTACCTATGCGTGAGCTACTTGTTTGAAGTGGGGAGTGTTTACCGCCCTCAGTCTCTCCCCTCTGGCATCACCTATGACCCTAATACTTGAGCGTAATTGCTCTGCCCAGGGATACGTGTCTGTAACTTGCACCAGAGGGGGGACATGGTGTTCTTTCAACATGATTGGCATTGGAGGCCAGAGAGTGAAAGCAACAAGGTACTGGTGAGAGAATTCGCCCGCCACGCTGAAGACATGCTTTCCATATTGAATGTCCGGCGGGGCTTTTGGAAGCTCTCTTCCAGAGTCTTCAGATCTCGACCTGCCTCAAAGGGCAGAGCGAAGGGGCCCCTGACCCTGACCTTGCTGCTCTTGATATGGCTTAGAGCAAACTGGCTAAGAGCAATTCAGAAGTATTTATTTTTATCCTTGATGCTCTCTTAGTGATGCTTGCCTGGAGCTTCTTAAGGATTGGAAGAAGAGCTCTCTTGAGCAGCTGAGACCCCAAAAGTGCCCCTGCCCCACAGATTGCTGGAGAGGCTGGCCTCTGCCCATTTCTGCATGCTGGGTTTCGGCTCCACCTTCACTAAACATTTAAAACAGCACCACACCGCTTTAAACAGGCATGGCTTCCCTGCAACGAATCCTGGGAAACTTAGTTTGTTAAGGGTGCTGAGAGTTGTGAGAGACCCTGCTTCCCCTCACAGAGCTATGCTTCTCTGGGAAGAAGAGGGATTGATTGTTAAACCACTCAGCTGATGGGTCATAGGAGCCTGCCTTCCTCAAGTGGTGGGCTTCTGTTCAATAGAAACTGCTTCTCCCTCCCGGAGCTGCTCTTTGGCGCTGTCCTGCATGGCTTCAACACAGAAGGGGGGGGGGGGAGCCCTGCAGGGAGGCTTGAAACAGGAACAGACTTTGGCCTTTCAAAATTCAGCAGCGCCCTGTGCGACACCAAAATTCGGCACGCCTCACCTCTTGCCTTCCATTTTTCTCAACTCACTATGTCATAGTTGTGATGCCCTGCGGTGCCCCCTTGGCTCGGCATCCAATGCGGCAAAACTAGTAGCGCTGCCCTAAATCCACCTCTGCTTGCAAAGCCCCTTGCAGTCCTCCCTGTGTTCTCCTTTGCACCTCCGATAGGGTTGTGGGTTCGAGCGCCATGTTGGGCAAATGATTCCTGCATTGCAGGGGGTTGGCCTAGATAACGCTCATGGTCCCTTCCAACTCTACGATTCTATGAAAGGAGAAGTGCATGGGAGCCCTTTCCGATGCCCCTCCTTTCAACCTTAGATGTTGGGGATTTGGTTTGCATGCAACAGTACTCTATATATGAAGGGGTGGCTGAATGATCTTAGACTCTGTGTGCATTGGGGATTAAGAATGATGGAGAATTGTGTCCAAGGAAATGATGGTTGCTGAAAAAATAAGTCGTTTAAATAGTGAGTGCTGAGTGCATGTCTGAACTCCTGAACTCAAAATTAAAGTACATTTGTAAGATCTATCTGCAAGTATATATAATATATAATAAGTATATATAATATTCATAAATATGAGGGAGAAAATGAGTAAAGAGAGCAAGAAAATGTTGGAGAGAAAGAAAATGTACCTCAAGTTATATGTGTGGGCTCTGATGTTTAGGTGTGTGGGTTCACTTTCTGTTGTAAATGAGTGAAAAAATATCTAAAATAGGAAACAGTAGAATCTAGACAGCCAGGACTCAATTATACAGCTGCAAATAAAATGTTTGCAATGTGTTCTAACATGCAATATACAAATGTGACACTAGATGGCAACAGTGAGCTATGCAAAATTCAATGTGTTTTTTTCCCCCAAAATGTTTTTTCCAAGCATTTTCAGTGTGTTTTTTTATATGTGTGTAGATTCCACACTAGCCTTGTGTTAAAACAGTTTGAAAAGAGCAGAAAGCAAGGTGGATGTAGGAAATGGGGTAAAGGGACTTTTGGCCTGATCTGTGATGGACATCCAGTTCCCCACCCTAAACCTTCTCCCCATGTCTCTTTCTGCAAGCCTGGGCTCGCCTCTGCCTAAACCACATCTTCACATTTGAACCATGTAGCCTTCATGCCTATTGAGCAAGCAATGCAAGCCTGTCATCTTTTGAGGTATCCATCAATCTCCCTAACCATCATTTCAATCAGCGCCAGTCCTTGTAAATAAATGCAGCATCCTCTGCGCCCTGCCAAGATCCATCAGTGCAAAGTGTTCCACGGAGAAGCGCTGAATTAGAAATATCATCCTTCCATCACCTGGCAATAACAATAGAGGCGAGAAGGTACTGTATATAAAGTTCCTATTCCCTGCTTTCTGAAAAGTAAATGTACTTAATTTGCTAGCAAGATGCAGCCTTGGTGAAAGCCTTTGGAAGTGAGCTGTGCAGAGTGAGTTTAAAAAAAGCAAAACCCTGGAAACAAAGCAATTTTCTGAATTAATTTCAGCCAAAGAGAAATGGCATTGTGTTTCCTTCCCACGTGGTGCAGCAGTACAACTGAGGATTGCTTGGGTGGCTTTAAAAGAGGATGAGATTCGTGGAAGATACGGCTATTACTGCCCTCTCCCCCGGTGTTGTCCTTTGGCAAGTGAGTGGGGCTCAGCCCACAGGGGAGGAGGCATGTCTCCCTTGCTCTCAGTTGCCTGTGCAGAAACTTCCACTGAGGACATCTGAAATAAGGGCTTCGTTTCCAGCCCTACCTGAAGATGCCAGTGACTGAACCCGGGACATGGAAAGCAGATGTTCTGTTACTGAGCTACGGCCCTTCCTGGAAGCTGCCTTTTACCAAGCCAGAACATTGGTCAATCTAGCTCAGTATTTCATATTGTTGCTGGAGAACACAGTGGGGTTGGAGGAGTGTTCTTGTGCTCAGGTTTCTGCTTGTGGGTTTTCCCACAGGAATCTGGTTGGCCACTGTGAGAACAGGATGTTGGACTGCATGGGCCGTTGGCCTGATCCAGCCGGGCTCATCTTAGGTTCTTATTGCTTGCACTGGCTGGCAGCAGTGCTGCAGGGGGCCTTTACCAGCCTTACTTGTAGATGCTGGGGACTGAAGCTGAGACCAGGTGCCGTACCACTGTAATACATCCTCACCCTTTCCTCTGTCTCCAGGCTCATATCACTTGCGCCCTCTTTAAGCTGTATGAAATGGGAGAGGAATTCTCAACATGGAATGAAACAGCTCTCTCCAGTTCCTGCCTGACACCCAGGATGCTTTCCTCGCTTCTCTCCATCAGTTGGGACCAGACAGGTGTGAAAAAATAGACACTGAGAAGCCCGCAAGCGGCCCGTCACATTGCCTTGTCTGCTGTCGCATCCGATAAGCCCAGCACCGGTGATTGTGTGCTGTGTCCAAAACAGTTGTTCACAATAGGTTTTTTTGCTCTATAAACACCAGGCAAAAAAATATCCTCTCAATATTATAAAAAAGCTTCCTACTCCATCTAAAACAAGGTCTCCACATCATACCAGGTCAAGCTGAAAGTGTTACTATTAGTATTTAAAGCCCTTAACAGCTTGGGACCAGTAACCTGTGAGATTGCTTTAGCATGTATGTGTCCACTTGACGTCTTCAATGTGCAGAAAACTGGCACTATTACAAGTGCCAAACAATACTTGTTCCATGTTTGTATGAAATTGATATTTTAGTGTGGCAGCTGTCACACTTTGACTCTCTTTGCCTATTGACATCAGGCAGAGGCCTTCACTGTACTCGGGTATGTACCTCGGGTTACATACGCTTCAGGATACATACGCTTCAGGTTACAGACTCCGCTAACCCAGAAATAGTACCTCGGGTTAAGAACTTTGCTTCAGGATGAGAACAGAAATCGCGCAGCAGCAGTGGGAGGCCCCATTAGCTAAAGTGGTGCTTCAAGTTAAGAACAGTTTCAGGTTAAGAACAGACCTCCGGAATGAATTAAGTTCTTAACCCGAGGTACCACTGTATTCTTTTTGGCACCTGCTTAAAACATTTTTGTTAGGCAAGCCTATCCAGTCATGTAGAATGTGGACATGTGCTTTAATCTGGTTTTTAACTTATAGTTGATTTTAATTACTTTTTGAACATTTTAAATGGTTGCTTTTAACTTTTGCAAAACTGATAATTTCATTGTTTTATTATTTTGTAAACCACACTGAGGTGTGCGGGGTTTTGTTTTTTTACACCAGGATTCTGCACTAGGCCAGAGCCCCAGACCTGTTCACTGTCTCTGCTGCTGCACAGCACTCTGAAGAGGTGTGGCGAAATCCCCCTCCAGCCCACCTCAGGCTAGCTTTCCGCTTCTCACACTGAGATGTACCTTTCCTCAACTGCCCAGCATTTATTCCTGTGTTAAGATGGAAGCTCATCCCTTTGGGGACTGGAGAACATCTCTCCAAAAAATAAGGATGTGCAAGATCGGAGCACCGTGGCTTGAATCTCCATATATATATATATATATATAATTTTACACCTTCTGATGAAAACAACATGGAGCATATCAGCTGAAGAGTTAGAAATGATTGTTAAGAGGAGGAAAAGGAAAATATTTCATAGCTATCTGTGCAAACCCAACACCTCTGTAACACCTGCCAAAACCAGAAAGGGTTTGTATAGGTTGTTAATACGTGTATAGCACTGCGGACATGAATGGACCAAGGTCTCAAAGTCCTAAAGGGTAAAGAAAGAATTCTGACCAACATGGAGTGTAATGAGTATGAGTTACTCGTGCGTAAACTGGTGCCTCTCTAGGCTGATTTGCCTTG